CAACAGCACTGTTGGCGGTCGTTGTTAACCCGGGCCTCGACCGATCCGGTATGGAAATCGTTTTAGTGATTCGCATATTTGATTTAGCTAAACGTTTTACGCCGGATGCCCTTCCTGACGCAACCCTCACCATTTATCCAGGCTTGGGACCGGCACTATAAACACGGCTTTGTGTACCCTAGTGGCTGGCTTTGCATACGTATCACTGAATTTCAAAAACTCAACTTTCTCAACTCTACTCTACTTTCAAAAAATGCATTACCAACATCAAGACCTGTTGATCTGCTAAACATCGGTTTTGTATGACATAAAATTGACAGTTTTAAACCTTCAATTGAACCCATAACAACATACACTATATTTTAATAGTACAGAAATATATATTATGGCAACAAATAAACAGTAGTAACGTGAGACTAAGGAAAGTGAAAGAGGAAAACAAAAACTCTGTGGTTTTCTAAATGTTCTCAGTCAATATCCTATTTCAGACAGGGTCAGACACTTGCTGTATTGAATTGTAATATCTTGAACTTCCATTAACGGTGAGATGCAATCTTTTCTGATATATAGGCAAAACGTCACTGTCACCAAGGAAGCACATAGACAAAAAACAAAGACAAAACAGGCTCTTTTCCTTGGCAGTCCTTATGAGCAGATGGGAAGACCCAATGGCTTTTCACTAAAACTTTGAATGTGTGTGCCATCAGTGGAGTAGTGCATCACTCAACCTCAGATATTCCACAGAGCACAGAGGGTTAGTTGAAGGTACTGGGAAGTGGGATTGTTCTGAGAATGACCCCAAAGTCAAACGTCTCACGTCATAGAAGCAAGTGTGCAGGCCCTGTTAGAATGCATCAGTCAGCAGAGCAAATAAAAGACTCTTTTGACTCATGGAGTGCTCCCTCTCTTGACCTTGTATTTGGCAGTGCGTGCTGGTACAAGCGTCACTTGCCAGCTATTGACTGCCACACTAAAGTGAGTGACGACATTTTGTCCACTTGATTACTGTCTTTCCTGATAATGACACTGTGAATGTGGAACATATTATAAAGCAAGTTCATGCGCATCCATGTCAGTCACTTCCTCTTGAACTGTGAGAAAGAAGGACTGGATTTATGACAGTCCATTCAAATGAAGCTTCAGAAACATTTATGTACAAAGCATATAAGCTAGTCTTTAGTACCCCGACTCAATTGGTTATTCAGAGAGATAAAAAAAAAGAAGACAACTGTCCAAGCGACCTCAATTGCATGAAAACTTGCAATTAGTGAATGAAATAGCAATCAAAAAATTGCCATCTTGTCTATTTAGTAATCAAAACTTTCTCTGATCTTTCACACCCCTCATTATTTAGTAGAGAAAGGACTTACACCTTATAGAAACAATGGTAGAGCTAAAAATAAATGTTACTCCCATACACTCTAGACAATTTGTGATTTAAAATTAAAATTCTGTATTTTAAAACAATTGATTGTTGCTACTTTGTTTAAAAAATATCTTATAGAATTGTGACTGTTATCCAACTCCTACTTTCTAATATTGTATAATAAACTTCGGGCGGTTCAGACAGCACAGTTGCCATGATCTTTTTTCCGTCAGACTAACACTTTTCTTGTAGGTCAATGGAGTCACCAAAGGGCTCGTTTACTAAGCTGGTTCAGTCTGTGTCAGTGCCTCTGTAAACTGCACATACTAAGTCTCTCTCTTCTTCAAAGTTCAATTTTATAGTTTTAGCAGCTTTGAAAGAAATCCTAATAGTGCCACTGTCAATATTCTGACTCAAGGCTGCTGTAGGATTGTTGCAGTGGTTAAAGGTCAGCTGACCAACTTCATTTACAAAATGACCACAATGTTCCATGTTTCCTTCTTTCGGGAAAGCACAGGCATATCCCAAGATGACATTGCAAGGACACACAAGGTTTAAATTATGACAGAGTTTCTCATGGATCGTGAGGCCGCATTTTCAAACATGGAGTGGTCAGTGTCCAAACCTCAACCACATAAAACATCTTGTGGCACTTCAGATGGAGACTAAATACAGCAATCTGACTATTAATTTGACATTAATTTTCAACAAAAGATCTTTTAACACTCAGTATGTTTTACAACAAATATAGAAGCAGATTTTTAAAAATACAAATAAAATACATTTATGTCTCTGAAAAAACAATAAAATACATACTCCTTTAACATAACAGCTTTGTGAAAAGTTTCATAGTTTCTTTTGACATTCGTTTTGTGTTGGATTTATTAAATTTGGTTATTCTTTTCTGTTCTTAAAACCATCACCAGACAACACAGCTAAATTTCCAGAAATACCAGTCAAAATGCTAACGTTAGCCGCAAACAACTACAGTTCCCTTTAAATGGCTTCATTATTGTGTACTCTTGTTTAAGTGAAAGCTACTGCAGTTAGTGTCTGTGGTTGACGCACAGATTCGCTTTACTCTTATAAAACCAATATTTTAAGTTACCACGTCAAAACGTACAGTTACAGTAAATGTAAGTTATGTTAAATTGTCCTTAAGTTAGCTTAGCTACAGTGCTGAGCTTTTAAACAAACAAACCTCGAACAGGGTTTGTGACAACCTTTGCTTCACTTGCCACGACACAAACGATTATACGTATTTTACGTGTAAAGGATAGTGACATGTCAACGATTATTTTCTACGGCTGTTTGTGAGTTAAAACTTGTTTCAAACGAACAGCGACTTTAACAAGCTAATGCTAACCCCTGCTCTGCAGCTGTTTCCGGAAACTAGTCCGAGACCATTCGGTCATTGCGAGCCCATTAAAATACATTTCCTGCATGGAATTGAAATCGATAACAAAAAAAGATACATACCAACTCATTTTGAGTTAACGTCTGTCCGGTTTCAGTCTGTTGTTTTATTATTATCCGAGGACCTCATTCCTTTCCACCATTCAACAGATAGACATAAACAGGAAGTCCGGCAACGAGACACTAGTGTTTCCTTTACAGAACTTTTATTTTTATATTCAATTTAAAAAAACATATTAAATAATAAAAACACAAATTTTAGTTACAGTATTGGGCAGGTGATTCAACATTAGTGAAAATGATTGCAAGTCAAATTGATCTATGTTTTGTAAGCAACATACCTTTTAATATTTTGCTCATATATATATATACATATATATACACACACACACACACACACCTTTTGTATGAATCCATAGGCTGGTTAGGACTTACTACTAGCTTTCATTCAGCTATCCTAATTGTGTTAAGAAATAATTTATTGATCTTTATTTTACTTTGTTAAATCTTTGTTGATCTTGCACTAGGAAAATTATTGCGTTGAAGCAGCATAGGCAACTGAGACAAAGACCGTACATAAGAAATTACAACACAAAGCACACAATGACAACAAGATAATATTTATGCAGTTGACATGGCACACCAAACATGAATGACGGCTCAGTGCATCGTTAAGGAAAGGAATTGAAAGGAAAGTGAACTCCTTGTCATTGTGACATTGTGACACACGTCACTGCACACAACAGAATTTGACCTCTGCATTTAACCTATCACCAAAGTGAATGGTGGGCAGCTTTTTGAGTGCCCGGGGAGCAGTGTGTGGGGACGGTGCCATACTCAGAGCACCTCATTGGTAACTTGGCAGCTGGTGAATTCGAACCTGCAACCTTCCAGACTCAAGTCTGCTTCCTTAATGGTTTAGTGCAATGATTTTTCACTGTTATTGAAAACACTGCTAACCTATTAAAATTTGTAGTTGCTGTTAACACAAAGGTAAAGGTAATGTCAAGGAAATGACAATGAAATAATTGTATTAAGTAGCTCAATCAACTCAGGTAGATTCAGTTTGAAGACAAAAATGAACGCAAACGCTCTTATATTTAAGATAGCCAAAAATGTGATGCTTTGTTTTTCAAACATTCTGTGGAAACATCTCACATCTTACCCATGTCACGTCCAACACAACTGACTCTATGCTATCATTGAGTTTAGTTGCTGTTTTTGGCAACACCAACTCTGAGACCTATGGCTTCCCTGTCAAGTACAAACAAAACATACAACAGCTTGTTCATTTTGACCACAACACAAACATTTTTGTATGAACAAAATAGAGGCCCGTTAAATACAATGGTGCTCTGTTATATTAATAAAATTTGACAGCTAGACAATTTTGTTTATACAAAGTCAAAAGAACGATAATAAGGGTCTGAAGGGAAGTTTGGCCTCCACATATGCACCATGTATAGATACACACAGTCTATTGATGATGAAGAAACATTTATGTTATTATTTAATTAATGTGTCTGCTGTGCATGAGACACATTTATCTTTATGTAATATATCAGTCCTAAGGGATTCAAAATATTGTACTTGTTGTGTACAAAACAGTTTCTATATATTTCATTTTAACTGTATCAATGCATTTTTTCCCTCAATACAAAAACAATGCAACTGATATTGCGAGTCTTGGTGCGGGAAAAAAAAAATCTAAGACAGTCAGACACCTGCAGTCCCAATGTTGTTTTGAGCTTTTTCTCAGATTATTCAAAGTGATAATAGTATTTTGTTATTATGTAAAAGTATAAAAATTATGTACTTTCACCATCTCCATAGAGTTGGTTCAGGTGCATACATACATGTATTTATGTATGGGAACTAAAGTAAACTGAAGGCAAGTTATATTTTTCTTTATTCAAGTACATACATAGAAATAACAAAACTGCAATACAACAAACCGAAGTGCCAAGTAAACAGGGGAGAACAACTCCCCAACACGAGGATATAGTAAAATTCATTTTAATACTCAATTCATCGTAAAAGGACCTTAGTATAAGGTAATAAAAACATGAAATAACTTTAAGACTTCCACAACATTTTAACAAGACCTTTTGTTTTCTTAAAAGAAAAGCCAATACAACAGAAATCCCAGTGTGTGTTTCCAAGTGACGTTCTTGAATTGTTGGAATATTTATGCCAACTCACCCAAATATAGGTGCATTTACTTTTCATGCATAATAAAGAAATGAGTGCCGCACTCAGCATATGGGGCAACACTCGGGAACATTTCCGTGCACATGCAAACGTGATCATATACTGTAATGAAAAAGGAAACACAACACAACAGAAAACAGTGAGTATCGACTCCATCTAACTACCAGAGTGTGGAGACCTCAAAATCCCTGCTGTAGTCCATGGCATGACATGAGATGTCTATAAGATCTACACATTATCGACATCTTTTCAGTTGTAAGCTGTTTTCCCCCCAATGTCATAAAACATCTAATTGTTAATGGACCAAACAGCCCAAGCCTGTTACTGTATCCACGGTCCACTTCACAGACACTGAACTAAACATAGAAACACAAAGTATTGTGTAGGATTAGTTACTCCTGTCCAAATCTGATCATTTTGACTGGCTAACCCAGCAAGTGGATTTTGGACAAAAATGGCTGCCAATGTGGGCTCTGGTAAGTGGCTAAATCCTACTATTAAATCTACTTATGGACAACAGCAGACAGAAAACATAACATAATGCCTCCTTTCAGAAGCATCATTGTGAAAGAGGGGGGTTGTTTCTGAGTTCAGAAAGTCATTGACATTTATCTATAGCATTCATGCTGTTCACGGAGATATTCAGTAGAAACATGGCACAGCGCACATTGTTATTCAGCAACCTATAGGAAACCGGTTGGGGGAAAAATTTTGAAACCCTCGCATCAATTACAGAAATGTCACAAAACCCAAGTGACAGAATGTCCTGTTATGTGACTGATGAAATATTGACGTTGCAGGGTTGTAATTACACGGCTTCATTTAGATGTGGAAATAGTTTGGTGTGTAGTCACCGCCTCACTCTGCATCAGTCCTTGACGCAAAGCAACAAAAACACAGTTTTCTCAAGGAGGATGCCACAGTTTCTATGCTATAATTAAAAAGCAAAAATCATTCTCACCAGTGTCAAAACTGGAGCACGCAAGAGCATCATTTTTGGTTAAATCAAGTCAAAATTATCTAAAGAATGTAACAATCAAGTTATTGTAAGTAAACATTAAAGATACACATGAGTTTTTTTTTTTTCACATCACTGCAACCATAGACACTGGTGCTGACTCTACGAAGCGCTCTGATATGGGATTATTATACTTGAGGCTAGTCACTCCCGTCTAGACTGAATCTAGTCAAGAATCAATTTAAGTCCATCAAACTCGTCATAATTTGGAAAGCATTTCTTTAGATGTTCCAAAGTTTCACTATTTTTTTTATTTAAATAAAATAATTCTTATGATAAACAGCTACTTTTTATACAGCAAGTTGTTTCAGGGAGTGTGAACTTTTAAACTATCTAATATAAAAGTGCTCAAAGGTCAGTCCATTTAGCCATGCAGATGAGCTGAGGAAAGACTCTGAGGTCAAATTAATTGGAAAAAATAACTTGCCAGGAAGCTCCTTGTTTCTGGCCTTTGCATTTGTCTGTTGATATTTTCCTTATGTCTGAATGCTATGTCTGCTGACCGCTACATTAACAAATATTTTCTAAGTTTTGTTTATGTTGTATTTTTTTCCAACAAATACAAATTTGAAAGAAAAAGTCTCTCAGAAAAGAAGAATTATTTTCTTTCCATCCAGCTACAAAAAGGAGAAGTGAGAAGCCACATGTGGAAAATGTTGCTATTTCCATGAAGAGTATTTCATCAGTAATTCTCAGAAAACTTAACAATTTCATTCATGTGTTCTTGTATACTGGGGGATTTCTTTTTTTTTATAAAGATACAACACACATACCAGTGCTTCCTTAAAACAAATATTACTCTATGTAACCTTTGTGTTGTGTTTTTATGACAGAAATTGAGAAAACACTTCCTTATTTGGCACTGTGGCTTTTGCTATGACCTATGACAACAAAATGAAAACTACAATATTCTAGACAGATTCCGTCAAGGTATTCTGTCAATTTAAAATGTATTCATTATGCTGACACTTCTATTTACACAGTGTGCATGAACACGTGTACATACTGTACTGCATGTGCACAATTTAACACTAAGCTGTGGTGCATTTGGTGTCTGAGTGCAAATGTGATTAATCTATTACAGCTACATACATATTTGTGCTTTGTACAAAAACAAGTTTACAAATCAGTCTCTGTCTGGATTGGAAATAATTTAAACATAGGAGTTTGTTTTTAACACAATGAAGTGTACAAAAAAAAGCCTCATTCATTCTTTTCCCCCCACTTTGCTTCCATATGCTGCTAATTTGCAAACCAGTGTTGTTTATTTAAGTACTTCCGTCTGTTCAACTGTGCTCTTAGTTAATTTGATTTATGGGTTGGTGGCACATGTCACGGACCTATTGCATATAATTGCAGAACTCAGAAAAAGTGAAAAAAAATGGATGGTATTGAAATTATATCTGGTAACAACACATAAAACCATCACATAAAACGGTAACAAAATTACACAGTGTCAGTAAGTGACAACAAATAAATAAATCTTGGCAAAGACATTGATTGCTGCAGGCTTTTTTGATTTTTTTTTTTATATGAACAGGTAACAGGAAAAAAAACATTGTTTCATTTATTTTGTGTAATCCTTTCAGTCATCTAGATTTAACCAAATACAAATGTAAAAATCGAGAGCTGAAATTCTGTCCTCTTTTTAATTCAGTGTGTCGATTTTAATGCAAACATCAGGCACAATACTGCAGAACCAAGTTGCGTTTTTAACACAATACGTTTGGCAACATTCTTTCAAAGAAACAACATTCAAAATATAAACACACTATACCTCAACATAAGAAAATTCAGAAAGACAAGTCAAGTGCCACTTATAAGGTAACAATGACAGCACACAAATATAACCAATTGCACTTTTAAACAGCCTAATAAAATTAACGCAATTCCTACTCTTCCCATAACTAAGCTCCATCATAATTCTGTCTCTGATAATCCTTGTGATGGATTCTGGCTTCTCTCCAATGTTGAATTTCTCAGTTAAATTTACAAAAGTTAATCTACATCAAAAAGCTATACATACACAGTGGCCCCCAGGGCAGTATGTGCCAAGATGCCCCTTTCTGTTGGCACTGCGTAACAGTAGCTGAGGCTTTGAGTTGTTAGACAGAAAAGGGCGTAGCAGCCGTTTCCTGCTTTTAATCTAAAGGCGTCCATCTAAAAACAGAAGGAATACAACTTAGTGAAGCTTGGATGGAAAAGAGAGGAAAAAAGTCACCTATTTATCTCATAGTGGATGTGGTCCCTTCTTCATTAGTCATTTTTTATGGGGCCTGGTGAGGGTTCAAGTCCAAGTGCACTGACTAACGGTCATGATGTTCCCACCGTTGGCCCCCCACAGGAGCTGGGTGGCGAGCTGTGGCTCCCCCCCGCCCCCCACCCCTCGTCTGCT